AAAAAAAAGGATGGTAATGGATTTAAACTAGCTGTTCTCCATTGTTTTCTATAGTGTTCCTTTCTAGTAATTTGAAGATGCTTTTAGGACTGCCTTTTAGAATTTACTGCATCTTGGCCTTAGCCTTTGAATTCACCTAAAGGCTTTCATGCATTCAGTTTTATTTGCGAATTTGTATGTACCTATAAAGTCTTATCCCTCTGGAAGGACTGTCTTACATTTCTGGACAGAGAATTATGAATTACCTTAAAATTCTGTTTCTCAGATAGAAGCTGAAGGTCATCTTTGTTTATTTTGTGTAATCTGTGGTGTAGGTGCTAGAAGACAGAATGAGGAAACGAGTAAAGAACAGGTATTAAAGCTGAAGATGAAATGTGAGGGCCAACCTGAGACGTTTTGGTGAGTGGGATAGATTTCCACAGAGAACAAGTGTCAGAAAGGTTTGGATAAAGAAACTGAGGGTTACAAGCAGCCACTTTTGCACATTAACCTACATCCCCTCCTGGATGTTGTGAAGCTGTATTGTGTTTATAAGTGATGTGTGGCCATGGTGCTATCTCGAGTGATGTAGTGTTACTGTTGGGATTGTTGTTCCTCCTGCCCCGTTTCCTGCCCTCCCTCTAACACCAAAATTCAAACTTGCTACAGTTTTTAGCTGCCACCTTAAAGCTTCTCTGAACTCCAGGTAAAGTATCTTCTGTGGGTTCCCCTATTACAGGTGGTTCTAGTCCTTCACATTGAAAATCTAGTCACCCCATATGTTTGAACTTTTTAAATGAGCTGACATAAGAGGTCAGAAAATCCTGTTAGTCCAGGAGTAAATATCAGATAGTTCTTCAGCAATGACAGTACAATTACAGCATCTAGCAGGAAGTAAAATTTAGTGCAGGCTTAGCACAAAGTCAGCTTTTTCTTTTAGGAGAAAAAAATGAGTGGTAGGGAAGAGAAGTTGTGATGTTTGTGTATATTAAGAGGACATGTTTGGTGTTTGATAATTCTGAATTTACTCTATCGTAAACTATGGAACTCCTCCCTCATCCTGCAGTCTTTATTTTGCCTCTGTGCAACCTGCTTTTAAGAGATTAGGGCTCTGTGCTTTTAATATATTGGAATCTGCTTAGTGAGAGTGCTTTGTTTTGGAAAATAATTGAAACTATGGCAACCCTCATTTTTTTTCCAGCTTAGTTGTCTACCTCATGTACTCCTCTGCTTTGGTGGATGATTAGCATACTGGAAACCACTGGTAGCTTCTAATGTTATACAAACAGCAAATATGAGTTATGTAAATATTAAATCCAGAGAACCTTAGTTGTGCTTCAGAAATCATTACACACAAACTGAATAGCACTGTAAAACTGAGAGTTTAAGGCCTCTTCACTATCTCAGTGGCCTAAGTCTACAAAAATGTAAATGCTCGCACCAAGTGTGCAGACTGAATGTGTTTGGCACAGGAGCGCTAGTTCTGAACAGTGCTTACCTGCTGCGTGCTCACTCCGATTTCCTTCAGGTTCTCTAGAGCACTTGTTTTTTGGGTTTTTTTGCTTGTTTGTTTTGTTTTATGTTCCCTCAAACTTGTCAGCCACACACAGACATCAGTTTACATAAATTGACTTTGTTTCTATCGAATATGCCTTCTCTTTCCCAGCTTTCATTCTCTTGCACAGGGGACTGTAGCCTTTATTTATTTATTTTCCTTTTACACTTCTGTGTTCAGTTGCTGCTGTGATTAGAAAATGGGTCATCCTTGGATGAACTCTTATGAACTGCCTCTTCCATAGAGCTTGCTTCTCTGGGAAATTCTTGCAGTGGGAGTCATCTTAAAATCTTCCTGACAGCTACTAGTGACCTTATTTCATAATTACTTGTGTTTCTGTCTAGCTCTTCCAAAGTGTTGCATCTCCATGTTTGAAAAAGCTTTTAAAACATGTTATAATTTAAGATTTCAGGTCTCTGGCTTCTTTCCAAGTAAAACTTTGATGTATTAACAGTTAAAACTGAGAAGCTCTGTTCCATGGTCTGTCTGGCATTTGCACTGATAAGTGGGGCAGACATGCCTGGCAGTCAGCCCAGGGCCTTCAGCCTCCAGGACCCCCCCCGGGTGGGTTGTGCAGCTAGTATGTTGGCTGTACAGCCCCTCTAACAGGAGGGGATTCTTCTTCCTTCTCCTCCTCTTCCTTCTTTCACAGTTAAATATGTATACTGATAAAGTCTTGCCTTTTTCACTTTTTATGGATATACTTTCCCTTTCCGTGTTAGTATAAGGATTTCTCCGAAATTGGATATGAAATAAAAAAGTCAAATGATAGCTATTCTGTTACTAAGACATTATTGTAAACATCATATGGTTTATTATTTGTGCAAATTTTGACTGTGCCCTGTGGTTGTGACTCTGAAACAAAATTCTTCTTCCCAAGACCTGTCAGATTTAATAGAGGGTTTGTAATTTGCTTCGTACAGGTTCCTGTAATCCTGTTCTTTCTTCAGTCTTGGCTTTTATGGCGTGTTTCTTTCTAGTCACGGGTATGGTAGCAAATGTGTGACTGCCAAAGCATTTCACTGTCTTTCTGGTCTTGTTGAGGTTGAATCCACCACATCCCCTAGTCTGATGGAGTTTTTGCATCATCATTGACAGTGCAGTGTTTTCTTGCTGTAAAGTATCTTCTTAAGGTGGTCTCCTCACTAGTGTGAATGAAGGAGTTGCTTATACTTGAGGGCTTCTGATCCCTTTGCTGCCTTTTGTTTCAGTTGCCATAACATCAAGAAAATGATTTTCTAGACGGCTGAGAGGTGTAGCCATTCACTAATGCAGGATAGTTTTGGGAAGGTCTGTATGTCCTCAGGGTTGTTGTACTGTTGTACAATTGTGAGGCTCTGCTCTCGGCCCGTGCAGGCCACCATTGGAAGCTGGAATTAATGCACGATGCCGCAGTGCTCGCAAGTTGTGACTGGAAATGCTTGATCTTAGCTTTTAATGCATGACACTTGCATGTTGTGGAATCCCATAGGGAAACCAAGGCGCTGCTTTTAATCTTTAAATGGTTTGGGTCCTGATCTCTTGAGATGAGTAGGGGGCAAGGTTGTAGGGGCTATTGATTGGCAGAGTGTTCTCTGACGAGCTGCCAATATAGGGACATTTTCTGTCACAGCCTGCGCTTGCTAGGTTTTTCCACTGCCTACAACACCTACTACCTTGCTTTTTTTGTTTCAGGTTGAGTGGGTTGAATGTAGCGTGGTTGTGAGCAGTTACTGTCTGTGTTCCTGCAGTGATTTGTAATTTGAGAGTACAGGAAGAATGCCCCTAGATGTATTTTATAAAACTTGAAGAAATAAATGCTTGCCAACACAGGTGAGAAAAGGTCACCAAAGACTTATTAAATGACTCAGAATCCATTGGGTCCTTCTGAGGGTAGTGCGAGTTAGAGTCTAAAGAGAGTTAATGCTGAATTTTGACACAAAATAAGAGGAACAATAGGTTAAGTCTGGACTCTCGTGTTATAGTCTACAAGCTTCAGGTCCTGCACAATAACAAAGGGGAAGTAAACCCTATTAAATGGCTAGTAAGAATTATGATATATATAATTGTAGATACCCAAGGGCACTCCAGAGACTGATCATAAACCAACTGTAATTCCTAATTTCCTGACCTGTTATAGCCTTCTTTATGGATAATTGCATTACTGGCTTGAGTCTTTTGTGACTCTTTAAAGGCTCCTGTAAGGAATGGGGATTTGGGACTAATTTTTAAGGATACTCTTCTTACAAATTGAATGACTTTTTGTCCTTTTTGCAGAAATTAAAGGAGAAGTGTTGAGATTTGGATTGTTCATGCAGTTTGTGTTTACATATAAACAGATGATACTCTCTCTCTGTTGCTGGTAGGTCAAATATAACGTGTTATTGTAACAGTCAGCCTGAAGCAAGGTAGCCAAAAGCAGAATTAAGAGGAAGAAAGCAATTCAAACTGAAGTAGTATCAGTCCTTTGATTTGGAAACGTCTGAAGACAGTATGTGAGGTTTCAAACTTTAAGGTTTGGAGTTTTACTGAACCACTAAGATCATTCATCACGGTAGGATTATGAAGATCTGCTCAAATGTTTTTATTAACCTCTAGAATAGGTGCTGAATAGTGTCTCTTTCTAGCTATGCTGTTAAATGTTAAGAACTAGCTCATTAAATGTCTTGGAAAGCAAGCAATTTTATGGTCCTAAAAGCAGATAACGTACTTCAAAGTTTATTGAAATATTTGTTGTGGAGCAGCCTTCATCCATCCTTCCTTTCGTTTCTTTTCCATGCATTCCAAAAGTATGTGAACTTCAAGAATTTGATTTTAAAATGCCTAATTTTGCAGAATTATCAGGGGATTCAGACAACTGCATATTTAGGGAAAAAGTAGCTTTAATGTGATAAGCAAAGAATACAGTTATTTTTATATTAAAGTCTGCACTCCACTGCCTTTTGTCTGACTAAAAAAAAAACATGGCAGTTGGTTGAAGAAATACATTGAAGTGGCAGGTTGTCACATGGAACAAAATCAAGGCATATCTTAGTAGTCCCATTTTGTAGGTGTGATTTATATGCCCACACTATTATTACTTGAGCTTGTTTGTACTTTGCAAGTACATGAAAAAGGATGCATTGCATCAAAGAGTAAAATATTAGTGCTTATGCCTGTTTGGATATGTTCCAGTAGAATTTGGTCAACCAACTCCTAGAACATACATCCTTTTATGACTTGGTTCAAATTTGTATTAGCTCAGTTGGGAGTAAGTTTATTGAAACCTGACTGGGAATCAGGGGTATGGAACACCTTGATTCTTCTCTCTCAGGCTATGTAAATGCTTTACCTTGAAGGCCTCTGGACTTGCACAGGGCTGAGGGAAATGGAATGGGATAGGCAGTGGGTCAAACCACAGGTTTTAGTACCTGAAGGTATCTCCAAACTTGACCCAAACTCATGTTACAGAGTGAGTCTTCATATGTTGGCAGCCTTGTGAAAAGGCATGGGGCAGCTGGTTCATGAGAAGGAAGCCTTCTGTCAGCTTCAGCAGATTCTGCCATATACCCACAGCCTGGCTGTACTTAGGGTAGAAATGGGGAAAAATGAGGATATCAGGTGAAATGCAATAAGAACAAGAGCTACTGGCCTGGGAACAGGTTAATTCCTTCTTGCAAGCTACAAACACATACAATGAAGAATACTTTGGAGAAGAACCCTGAAGAGCCTTGAAACCGAAATATTTGGTGAACCTATGATGAGCAGAGATGTCACTCAGTGGTCTTGCACTCGTTGCGCTGATCACAGAGTCCTTACTAGATTCCAGATGTTCAAAACTCCAGCTTTAGGCTATGGCATATTACTACATTTCATGGCAGAACTGTTGTAATGCTTTGCCTTGGAAGTGGGTGTTTTGCTTTCACAAGTAAAGGTCTTTGTGTCTTTTTTCCTTTTTATTTTTCTTTCTTTCTTTCTCAAATTGTGAAGGAATAGAAAAATTGTATCTGAAAGGTACTCTATGTGCCTTGCTTCAACAGTGACATATGACACCCCACAGAGACTTTGATTTTATCACCCTAGTATTTTCTTTGTGGTATCGATGTATTTATAGTAAAAATTAGATTCCATGTTGCTTCTTCCTGCGGTTTCTAAAACTGAAATCATAGGTGCATGTAATGCAGGATTTACTTTTTGTTTAGTTCCATGTCTTTTCATCTTTACTTTTGCTTACCCAAAGTTGCTGGATTGACTATTCGGATAGTATTGTTCTCATCCTGATTGGAAGTACTTGGTAGTTGCAGTCTTTATTTAAAAAAAAGAAAAAAAAAACCAAAACCCCACAATGTTGAAGACTTGACTCAATAATCTCTCTTTTTCCTTCCCAGAAGTATACTGCCATTGGACTACTGGGCAAAGCTACTGATACATTAGATGCTACAGGAAAAGTAACTGAAGAAAAACCTTATGGTAAGCATAAATGTATCTATATACTTGATGTAATTTGAAGGCATAAATGGTCTCTATCATAGGAAAGCGGAAGAGATGTTTGGGACTCTGACAATTAAGTTTAAATGTGAAATCAAACTAAGATTATTTCATCTTCAACTTCAGTGCCCATATAATTCAGACCAGCTTCATGCAATTATGTCCAGTGCAAGTGTTCATTTCTGTTGGAAAAAAAACAAACCAGGCATTAGATTAGGAGGGAGAAAATAGAATTGGGCAGGACTGTGTCATTTTAAATCTTTGACAGGCTGACAAATGATGTGCTATGTCCGGTAAAATTTTCCTCTCTCAGTGTGTAGTCCCATGAGTGCTCTTTTAGTAACATCCTTCAAGGCCAGTGGAGAAATAAAGCACTTAGATCTTCCCTCTAGGACACGCCTTTAACTACAGACTGCTGAACATAAAATGAGGATGGCATAAACTACTTTCTACGTATGTTCACCTACCAAATCTTGCTCTTGCTTGCAGTCTGTGTCCTGGCAACTTTAATAAATGAACTTTTCTGACCCACAGAGCACAGTGCAAGAGTTGAAGGCTTCAGAATTAATCCTAACTGTGGCTTTGTTGGAGTGGACATTCCACAATACTCAGAGCATCTTAGAAGCACCGTAGAACTAACCGGGGACACACCAAATGTATTTGCCATTAGTTCTTTCACAACCTGGGGGGGGAAAAAAAACCACCAAAAAGCCAAAATAAAACAAAACAAAAAAAACCCCCAAAAACCCAAACAAACAATAGGTAACTGGTTGCTTAGCAACTCTACAAGTCCCACATTGTTGGTGGTACCTGGTAGTAGGTACATGAAGTAAATTATCCTTTTTTTAATAGCATGAGGAAAAAGGTAGCCTAGATTCTACCTCTCGCCACCAATCCCCTTTCTTTTGCAGTTTTTCTTTTTGCGTGAGGCAGGCAAGTGTGAGTTTCTCATCCGCATGAACTTGGTTTATCATTCTAAATAGTATTATTTACTAGGAAATGTTATTCAGAGATGTTGGATCATTTGCTTCTGCTTCAGGATCAAGTTCTAAGTCTCTCTAAGCTTCTGAAGGACTGAGCATCCACATGGTGTTAGATCTGCCCACACTTCACTATGGTTGGAGAGAACACTTTCTTGGTTTTTATGTATACCTCTCAGAAAGTGGAATGTTGTAGTTCTGCTGCACCGAGTAGTAGTATTCATTGTAGATAGTCACTCACATATAAACTGTAAAATATCATTTTAAGTAGATGCAACTCCCGTGGTCAATTTATTTAAAAAAAAAAATCTGTTTCTTGAAACACTAGTTTTGCTTTTTTATTTTGTATTGTTCTCTGCAGACAGAATTGAGAGTGTTGTTTTCATGTGCGTTTCTTTCACTGGCAGTTCTTGTTATAGTAGTTCCTACCTCTGCACCACCTCCTCTGATGTAGTGGTTTAGCTTTCTGTTAAACTGTGCTTGGGGAACTGATTTGGGTTAAAAATAACCCCTTTTTTTGAGTTGCTTAACTTTTTAAATTGAGGTCAGTTGCATGGTACAGTTCATCATGCGGTCTTATGAAGGGCAGTATTGGCATTGTTGGGGCAGTGCAGTTTTGGGTGCTGGACAAAGTTTCCTTTTGCTGAAGCTGACAGCTGAAAGGAATGGTCATGAAATTGATCTCAGTTGCTTTCCATGTTGGTGCAAATCGGTCAGAGTTTAATTCTTTGGAAAGAAGAAAGAGAGAACATGCATATTCCTTGTTGGTCTCTTCTCCCCGGTAACTAGCGATAGGACAAGAGGAAAAGGTCTCAAGTTGCGCCAGGGGAGGTTCAAGTTGGATATTAGGAAGAATTTCTTTACTGTAAGAGTTGTTAAGCATTGGAACGAGCTCCCCAGGGAGGTGGTGGAGTCACCATCCCTGGAGGTGTTCAAAAAATGTTTAGATGTGGCACTTGGAGGCATGGTTTAGTGGGCATGGTGGTGTTGGGTAGAAGGTTGGGCTTGATCTTTGAGGTCTCTTCCAACCATAACGATTCTATGGTCCTTCTTTTTCTCTGTGCTACCTACATATTTTGTATTTCCTTCCTTCCTCCTCTTCTAACAAAGTAGATATTTCTCATTTTTTCCTGTGTCTTCTCCAAAGCAGCTTGGTTTTCTGCAGGATACTCTGGGTGGCCCAACATCCCTAATCCCTAAACCTAATTGGTAGTCCAAGAGCAGACAGCCCAGATATTTGAGCTGAATTTCAGCTTTCCTCTGACGCCTACAAGGATCCTGGGAGAAGCAGAACATCGACTATGGAACATAAATCCTGAAGTGCCAGCAGCATCCAGGATTGGGCCTTAGTGCAGAGAAAGGACGCTAAACCAGATTGCATGATATATAAAACTCTTCTTGAATGACTGCATTGGACCACAGGTGAAAGCGCCTGCAGAAAGTTGTCTGCTATATTAACTATAAGAAAGTGTTATATTTTAGTCCTCAAAAATGTCCCTAGACAGCAGTTTAGAAAGCAAACTGTTGTGTATTACAGTTAGTAGCAATGAAAGGATGTACTGAAGAGAGCTCCTTGGGTTTAACCCTTCCTGAACTTGATATAGTTTGTCGTTTGTTTCTTTTCGGACAACAAGTTTGCATTTCCACGTGAAATTAGGTTATGGTTTCATACTGCTCCCAGGCTATCAGATGCTGACTTTGGAAGCAAGCAGCATTTAGCGTTCCTCTGATGCTTTCTTGAGCACATTAATGTTTGTAGCCCTTTTTTGATGTTTGTAACTATGCACAGGAACGTGCATTCTGAAACCCACTTCCTCCCAGCTGCCCACAGACTATATCCAGACATGGAGAACAAAATTCATGAGGATTTTCTGTAGGTCTCTGCTGATTATGCTGAAATATATGTTTAATAGAGCTACCCAAATAATTGGAAAAAAGTAGTCCTTTGAGCATTCTGCTTGTCTGTTTGCAAATAATTTGTGCTGGGCCAGATTGAGTCAACGTCATCTGCTGTAGTTCTCTTAGACTGTCTTGGATAATTCTTGTGTTCTGTTTTGGTGTAGTTTGTTAACAAGCGCAGGGCAGTATCACCCTTCAGTGGAGGCTTCTTGAGGTTGTGGCACAACTGGTGCCTTTTGGTTTGGTAACTTTATTTAACTTCCTTTACGATTATAGCAGGAAAATCAATCACCAGTCACTAATGTTCAGAAGCACAACTGTTCTTTAAAATTTTCATGTTAGAAGCTAATAGGGTTATACTGAATGTTTTTAGAAGTGTTGGAGGCCAGAAGTTTTGGGTACTTCGGGATGCTGGTAGAATCGTAGGGAATTGTCCACTGGAAGATGCATAGCCTGTGCAGAAATCACATAACCACACTGTCAGTCTAAGGGCTTGGAAAAAATTTAGAAAACAGTTGAATTGAATGTATTCCAAATAGTGTACTCACAGAGCAGGTACAATCATTTTATTCTAAGCTAAGGTTTTTGTTATTCTTGGGGACTGGATGCAATTACCCCATGGGCCAAACCTTGACAATCCTCACTGAAAGCGTTGTGAAACAGTGTCAGCCTCCACACCCTTCCCTGGAAGGACGCAGAGCTGCAGTTGAAGTCCAGCTTCTAGCACAAATTCATAGTCTGTGATATAGCAGATGAGGATATGTGGTATTTGCGATGAGGATGTTGGGAGGAATAGGCTAACCCTTGGTAGCAAGGGCAGTGCCAAATGTGTCCTCCTGAAACATTGCTCAACCCCTTACTCTCAGGGAGTGAAGGGAGGTCAAAAGGGGAAAGTTTTGGGACTGTTGATGCTAATTAGCCGTTATGGATGTGCTCTTCTTTCATGCTTGATGGAGGGTTGAGTCCAAATGCTGACCTAAACTTGCTGACCAGACAAGCTGTTAACCTACTAAACCCAAGCCCACAGCCATGTGAGGGAGACCTGTGGGCCAAGGACCTGAAGGGAAACAGTTCTGGGCAGCAGGACTGCATTCCCCCCTACCTAGGCTGTGGATGTAACAGCTGTGGGAGCTGAGAGGTGGTGAAGGAGCTGGTTCACAGAGCCCTGCAGAGCCATGAGTCCAAACTGATGCCTGGGACAAACACACAGTTTAAACACACTGAAACTGTATGAGACAAGATTAATAGAGTATTCTTTATGACTGAGAGCTGGATGAAAGCTCCACCAGCTTCTGTGTTGTTCTAGGAGAGGGCAAGAATCCAGTACAGTCCATTAACACAAAGGTAGTGCATACTGAAAAAAAAAAAAAAATAGAAAAGCACATGGGTTTAGGTTTTCAAAATGTAATACTTGCTAGCTTGTGCCATGATGTGTCGCAGAAGACAAATACGATTTATTCTAGATCTTAGCAAACTCATCTGTAAGTATTTACTTAGATAACACACCACACAAGTTTGTTAATGGCTTAATATATCATTCCTCACATGGGGAATTTTTTTTTTTTGCTGAGACAGAGATTGCCTATAGCATGAGTGATTTCCTCAGAGGCTAGATGTAACCTCTCCCTTGGGGGAATATGAGATCAGAGCAGGAGCTGAACTCAGGTGTCTCATTAAATGCCCCAGCCACAAATACAGTTTATGGGGTAAAAATTGAAAGAGAACCCCAAGTGACACTTATGCTTAGATCTTAAATACTAAATTCTAGCCTGTAGCAACCTGGGGTTCACAAGAAGGCTGACAGGATCACCAACGTAGAGCTGGGTCATGCTGACCTTCCACGGTGTAGTTTTGTTGTGATATGTTGGTAAACTAGAGCAATGCAAACAGAAGATTGAAATAATCACGTAAGCGGCTCTTCAGCAGAAGATCCAGACTTACTTCTAGAATTGATTTCATTGCTCCTACCCTGTATTCTGATATACATTGGTCTTTCTCAGCATTGCTCACTGACTTTTGTGCCTTGCAACCTTGCTGTTAATGACACTTCTTGAGATGGCTGCTGGGGCCTAGGGACAGCATCTGCTCTTGAGGCTGCAAAGTGTGCTTTGCAAAAGTGAGCTGCTGTGGAAAGAAACCTCGTCTTTTTTACTCTACATCATGAACTACATCTGTTTTGTAAGGTTTGCAAGTAAAGGTCTGTTCCAAAAGATAATGAAGGCTCAAAAAATAAATTTGGTTGGTTTATGTTCCAGGATGTTGTTGACTTAGCAGGGTGACACTACTAGTTCTGTTTCTCGTAAGTTATATTCAATTAAAGTCCTAGACAGCAGAAATGCACTGCAGTGCATTGTGATTACAGATCTTATGTTTGTACTCCGTAAACAAATTAGGGATGAATGTCATCTTTATTGAATAGTATTTCAAAGGGACCAATGCAATCAGCTACTTAGGTTATAGCCTTCTAATAAAAGTGGATCAGATGTGTATGTGTACCCTTAAAAGAGTAGATTGCCTAAAGCAGCTATCTTTCTTTTACAGGATTTCTTCAGTAAAATTGCCTTACTTAATATATAACAATACCCTGGTGTGCATTTGCAGGTTAGTTGTTTGATATGGAAATTTGATGTGTTGTTCCAGATGCAGACTTTTTCTTCACTAGAAAACCACAATGCTTTTGTTCTCTAATAATCTGTTGTATTTTTCCCTGCAGTTAGGAACTCTTAAAGAGAAGTTGCCAAGGTTAGATGAGCATTTTATTCTTTTTGCTCCTTTAACAAAAATTAGAATAGGACAAATTTTATAGTTTTTTGCATAGTTCCCAAGAAAAATGAATTTGCAGTCCCAAGAGAGAGAAATAGCAAAAGAAAACTGTGTATATTGGGATTTCTGCCCTTCTGAAAGCGTCCAGACTGTCTTAATCACCTTGGACAGTTTGTTCCACTCTCTTTGTGATAATTCACACTCCTACTTACATTCTGTTTTTTATCTCTTTTCTTTGGTGTTTTTCACCCAAACTAAATTCAGACGAGAGGGAACCATTCTTTGTATGTTTGCAGAATGTGATTGATGCCATTAGTGCCATGTGAATAATCAATGCTAAAGTACTTACTGTTTTCTTTCTACAGACCAGATAACAAAAGGAGATCTTGAAAATGTGCTGCAAAAGTTCACAGGGGACATAATGCAGGTTCCTCCACTGTAAGTTCCACAATATTCAGTTGCGTTCAGCTGTTGGGACTTGCCAACAGAATTCTCTCAGAAATAAAAAGACACGTTTTGGCAAGAGGATAGAGGCAAGGCAGTCTTGCGAGTTTAACATTTGCAACTGCAGGTCATGCACATTCGAACATCGAGCACACATGGTGACCTAGAGTCTGTAGGTTTTTTAGGTAAATGTAAAGTAATAAAGCAGTCTTAAACAGCTTTGCAGGACTTCATGGCTTCTATCCTGTCTTCCAATAAGAACGCAAAGCTCCAAGTCTTTAATTTTAGTTGTGGGGTAAGAGGAGGCTTTCTGACACCGTTGTGGAAGTGCCTTCAATGACTTTGAATTAGTTTTCTGAAAACCTAGAGTATGAATGAGTGATTAGTGACTGAGCTTCCGTAGCTTAGCAAATTTCTTCTAGTCAGGTGAGCTGTAGTAGCTGGCAATGTGCAAGCACTTAGCTTGTGACAGATGGCTTTTATGGTGATTTAAGCTAACATGCTTTCCTTTGCATTTGCAATGGGTCGGTTACTGTGGTTTTCCAATATGAGCCTTGTAAGGTCAGTAATTCAGTAGGTGTTCTGCTTCATGTGCCCTATTTCAAATTGCCCTCTGATAATTTATTCTATAGTGGTCCCCTAAACGCCCTAGAACAAGGCTACATAACTCGACACTTGCTGTTCAGGGAAGACCCTGGTGTGAGACGAGCAAAGGTGCAAGGCAGAATTACAGGAGTTGCCTGAACGGCTCCCAGTGCTCAGCTCAGCATAACGGTGAAACAGAGTATGCCCTGCAGACTTCTGAGAGACAGTGTGTTAGAGGCAGCTGCAAATGTTGGACCCCTTATAGAAACCCTTTGTTTTCATAAACTACAAATTGAGTGATGAAAGACTTTTAAATCTGTACAGCAAGAGATAAATACAGGACCATCTCTTGTTTTCCAGTTTATATAGCTACTGGCGAATGAGATGATTCTGTGTCCAAGAGATTTCAGATGCACTTGCTAGTTTACGTTTGGGTTTTTTTGGTTTGGTTTGGCTTTTTTGTGAGCACTTGGAGAGGATTAGGAGGGTAAAATGTATGCTACTGTAGTACAATAGTAACAGGATCTGGAGAATGGGAAGCTTGTTCTGTTACAGCCATATGACACGCATTTTCATGTTCTATCTGATCAGCTATTCTGCTTTGAAGAAGGATGGAGAAAGGCTATCAACTCTGATGAAGAGAGGAGAAGCAGTTGAAGCAAAGCCTGCTCGGCCAGTAAGAGTGTACAGCCTCTCTCTCCAACAGTAAAAAAACACACTGGGTAAAGGCCAAAGATTATAACACAGAATGATGCTCCCAGCTTGTTAGTGTTTATTTACACTCAGAATGAGACTAAGATAATGAAATGGGTTTCATTTCCCTCAGCTACTTATTTTGGTGCAAGCCCATGTGCAGAGACTTTCACTTTGCAGTAAAAGCACCGTATTTTGGTTTTAACTTAAGCTGATTATATGTAATCTTTCTGTGAGGGAAAATTCTGAGAGGCTGGTCAGGGGATTATTTGCATCTGTCCATGATTTTGCAACCTCCAGCTCATTTCTCTTTTCTCAGGTCTGCTTTGCCCATTCTTTTACGCAGATGCCCTGCTGGTATCTCTCCAGGGCGCAGCAAGGACCACTATCAGTTACTGTCAGGCCTTTTGTCGCTTGAGGAGGCAGGATCTTATCCTTTCTTCTGTCATACGTGAAGAAACTTGGGTAGTACATTGAGAAGCACATTAATAAATAAACCAAAAAGGCTATTGTAAATGTTTGATGCTAGTGTAAGGTCAAGATAATGTCTTGCATTGGTCAGCTGCCTAGTTGACCCATAGTCCTCTGATGGACCAGTTGTTATATAACGAGCAATATGAGTGACAGAACTCAGTGCTGTGTTACTCCAGCCCTTACTTTATGGCTGGGTGACTAGCAGCTATCACTGACAGAGGGGGAAGGGAAAGGCTGAGAAAGCAGGGTAAGTTAAAGGTGAATTTTAAAATTTTGTTGGAGCTGCCTGTGTGCAGTATCTTAACAGCATTGATAGTCAGTTTAGACTATACTTGAAATAACTTGCTTTCATCGTTAGAAACATGAAACAACCTTCTGAAACCTTTAAAATGAATAGGACTGAGGCATGTGTTAACATACCACAGCAAGTACTTAATTTCTAGTGAGTGAGTTCAGTTGCCATTGTATTTGCTTTCCATCCTGTCTAGCTTAGCAATCTCACCCGCACATATGTTACAGGATGAATAATTGATGTTGCATCCTATAAATATTTTATCACTGGGTTGTTTGCTTAGCGCATTTTTACATTTATGTGGGGGCATGGTTTCTATGTAAAGTAGATTTCACTTTGCACTGACAATTTACCATGTCACTATTAACATTCCAGATGTTGAATGTGGTGGTGGCTTTTATGTCAGAAGCCTGGTCAGTGACATTGGCAAAGGTAGGCATGAAAAAAACCCGTGACAGTTTAAGGAATTAATGTGTCTGTTTATGGGAAAAAATTGTCATTTTGTATATCTCCAGTAACTAGAGCTATGTGTTATTTTGCGGAATTGTAATGCTATCACTTGGTTTTATATACTAAGGTATTTTCCTTGGGAGCATGGGGGAATGAAGGCTAAATAATTGCCAGGGAACCTTGGGGGCTGGGGGATAAAAATGGAGCAAGTAATAGCACTCAGCAAAATAATACAAGGCAAGGTGGGGATATTTTTTTTTCCTCCTCCATATGTTAAAGATAACTTAGATTAAGGATGAGAAGAAGAAGAAAGATACTGTCTTTTTAAACATTATTCATCACATTTTGAAAACAGATTGCACAGAACATTACCATGCACATAATAAACCATATCTGTGGGAAAGACTTCTACATTTGTGATGATTTTTCTAGTGTTTTCTTTCTCCTTTACCTGAACTGTGAATGGTTTTGCTTTCCCACAGGGTTATTTGTCTTGTGCTCTATATCTATCAAACTGCATGGTGGAGAACAGATAATCCATTTCAAATTTTTTTTAAATGGTACATTTGCAGATCAAGAAAGCAAGTGATGTGGGATAACCCTATGAATTTCAATGTTGTTATTTGTGCTTAGGCAAGTCGAAGATTCTCTTTCTGTTGCTGCCTTCTGAGCATACTGGCTTATGTTTAGTCCTTTAATGACAAACCAGGATAAAGTCTGTCCTCAGCTGGTTTCTTTTAAAAAATTTAAAACGCAGTAAAAATCTTCCTGCATCAGAAAAGATGGAGGAGAATATTTTAGTATACCTGTGCACTTACAAGTCAGCTCTGGTTGCTGTTACATTTTGTAGCCCCTTGTTATGTGATTCTATCCTACTGGTATTTATTTAACATAGCAGAGCATTTGTTTATATTTTTTATTTTTCCTTATCTTAGTTTATGTTATAGTGATAGGTGGCACAGGATAAAAATGTCAAAAATCCTTCTTGAAAACAAGAAGTGCTAAGCCCTCAAAAGTGTTGGAAAATTAGTACATGGTCTTCTAAGTCCCTTGTGAATACAGAATGTTCTGCTTACACCTTGTGTCATTATTTCCTCTCTTTCCATTCTGATTTAAATCTGGAAAACCTTTTGACAACTTCTGTGACAACTTTCTGTCAGATTTTTGAATTCTTTGCTACACTGGAGATCTATTGAAATCAAAGGAATTCCTTGGCTCAAATTTGAGAAGATATAAATGAGTGATAGTCCTGTTTTAGCCAAACCAGGACATTGATAATTCCGCATTAACTTCCTTCTCAAACAAAGCAGAATAATGTAGAAGGCTACATGGAAAAATACGTTTTAAGTGAGTTGCAAGTAGTTAAACTTGACCATGCACTTTTTTCTGAATCCTCTTTTCTCCTTTACTGTAGAACTCTCTACCTGTGCCACTATGCAAGAGCTGACCCGAACGAAACACGGGCCATTTACGCTAGAGGAGCATGCCCTTTATGAAGACAAATGGACGATTGATGAAATTGCACGATCCTTAGAGCATTGCACGTCTCTTCTCCCGGGAGAGCCATCCCATAAAAAATTGAAGACAGAGCATCCTAGTGAAACTGCTGTGAGCTGTGAAGATAAGTGATAGGTTGGGTCAAGGAAAAAGACTGCATGATTGAGACATTTTAAGATTGGGTTGGGATTGTCTTACCTCCTGTGTAAATCTACAAGTCTGTACTGGGAGGGTGACAATCTGCAGTGCAAGAAAAATGGTTCTTTTGTTTTCTGGGTTTAGAACATGCACTGAAAATATCCAGTGCTTGCTGATTCCTGATCTGTTTATTTTCCTTCTTGCACACTGTAAATGGATCTGCCGCTGATGTCAAATCTTCATAAACTTTTAAAGAACTTGTAGGGTGCAATATAACTGTTGTTGCTAATTCCTCAATAAAAAATTATAAACATTAAGATTTGATAAATATGCTCAAAAAAAAAGTCTGGTTTTTTTTCTTTACAGCTGGTAATCAAATCCTGAAATACCATGGTAACAAGACTGTCATAGCTTGAAGGATACAAGAATGTAGTGTGGCAATTTGCTTTCTTGAAATCCATTTCAGGATATGTCCACTTTACTGTAGTTTTTCCTGCCCAAATTTTTTTTTTCCGTCAGTAATCCATAATGCACTAAATGTAGGTGCTAATAGTTTATGTTAAGTCTGAAATATCAGTGTAAGTGAATAGTTTTAAGTATAAACAATCCCCAAAGATAAGTGTTTGATAACAAGTGCTCTAAGGAGTGCAGTCATCATTACAGGTGTACAGATCTTATTCTGGTATAATGTCCCAGTTGGTGATCATCTATAATTTAAAGTATAGTTAACTGTTCTGCCCTTCGTAGTGCTTATGGAATTTACTTTTTCCATCTGTGTATTGCTTGAGCTGTCTCCTGCGGCTTGGGTAGAAGGCTGATGTGCTTCTGGGCTTTGACTGATTTGGTCCTGACTAGTTATATGGGCAACAGAGGGATCCATCATCAAGGATCCTTGCTGAAGCCATTTTAATTCACTAGGGTGGTGAGGGCCTGTTCCACAGTTCATGTAGTCAACAGAATTTGATTGCACTGATTATTTCTCACCACAGCTTCCCTTGGGATTTTCAAAAGGACTAAAAAATAGTGATTTGAGAATGCTAAAAAGGCACCCTAGTTTGTTTCCATGTGTGTAATGGACTATCCTAAAAGGACTTCCCTATGTATCTCCATACAAGTCAGTAGCAGGTCTGTTTTCCTCTTGTCATAATGAGGAATGTGAGGAGAAGTTTAAACATGTGAGTGATATCTGACAGAAAGCCGTGCTTTTGAAATTGAAATTGTCACTGAAATGTCACCAGAGAGGAAGGGACTGGCTGCTGTTACAGTTTTGTGCTGCTGCTGGCCAAGCAGCCTGCTGTGGCTTTGTACAACTCCTACATCTTTGGGTTTTGGTTCTGGAGTACAGGGGCTTGACTCTCTTACTCTGAGTGACTGAATGCTGTAAAGCCGAGTTTGTGCTTGTGTTAGGGTGTATCTTTTAGAGAGAGACATGAAAATTTGATTTAATGACTCTCTGTTATTGCTACACGGTAAGTTACCTTGATAGTGAATTACCTCTGCTGCTTAAAAGTTGTGTTTTATTCCCAGCTTGACTTGAATCTCCACACGCTGCATCTTATGTCTGTGTCTGCACCTTACAAAAAGGTATTATGTGAAATGATCAAGTTCCAACCTTACTTTCAATCTAAGAAAAGAAATAAATCCTGAAGTTTCTCATTGCAGGATACCTTTCCAGACAGCTATAGCCTTTTTTTTGTTTTCTGTATGATAAGAAACTGAAGTCTATGCAAGATTAATGAAACTTTTGTTTAGAGGGAGGATAGAGTTTATGTTTTATTGTTCGGTAAACAAACAGTTTTCTTCTGTTATATATTCTTACAAAGAACTTAAGGGAAATGTTGAAAATATCACAAGCAAATTGACATGTTAGAGCACCGTAGCAGCAGCATATTTAATGTACAATGTGGATGAAGTAACCATTGTAAGAAATTTTGATTCCAAAGATGGGAGAAAAGAGTTGTGTTCAGTAAGAGAACAGTGGGAGATTTTAGTTGTTTCTTTTCGGGGTGGGTTTTTTGGTACTTCGGATAGAAACAGAGAGATGATTTCCTAAAGAAATCAAATAAAGCAGAAAATTTCATTTTCCAGTATACTTATCTTGAATGATCAAAGACTTTGATTGAAACAGCTTCTCTTATTGTCTAAATCTGTATTTTTCTGAGAATCTAATTTATGTTACCCCTGTGATTTTCTAGATTAAGTTCTCATTTCATTTCTCTTTCTGCTTTTTTAAAAATAGCCCATTAGATATAATTCTATTAGTCTACTTGTTTCATCTACAAGGATTTGTTTCCTTAAAAATGAGTGCTATTGAGAAATCTTTCTATTAATAGGGTACATTTTTATACAGTGTTATAAATGTCTAGCACATTTTTATCTCATCTGTTTGTTTAATGCTCACAATGGCTTTCTTGCTATTCCATGTAAGAACCTTCTGGTATTTTTAATTTCAAAAGGAGAATTATATTTTCATCAGCTTTTAGGTTAGCTTGCAACTGGTCTGTTGTAATTATTGCTAACGGATCTGTGATCCTGAGAAGACAGGATCTGTTCCAGAGTCTGGTCACTCGAGAGAAATGAAATGGCAATCAAATGAAAGTGCAGTTGTGTATATTCAGGAATCTGCAAAAGGTGTGTAGATAGTGTTTCTAAAGACTGGAGATATCTTTCAATTTACGAATGCAACTTCCCTCAATGTTTTTATTCCTCTGTAGAAAGTAGAGAGACTTTCACCAGTTCTAGCTAGACTTTTTTTCTCTGGGATTCCTCTCATCTTTGCCAACGCTAGGTTCTGTCACCTTCAGAAATAAAGGCAGAACTTCCTTATCTCAAACTAATGATGAACTTCTCCCCACATAACTCGTATTGAACTACAGAAGCTATTTCACTTACAAGTTGGGCAGCAAATACGTTTGGTTGTAGTTGGAAACGGCTGGACAGCACACAAAACTATGGCAGACAGCAGATAGGTGTTAGAAGACACAGTGTAAAAAGCACATAAAGTCATAAACAAATTACGCAATAACAGCTTGTTTTATGACCACTGAAGAGTGTCAGCCCTGTTCCAGCCCTAAACAGTTGAGCTGCCTTTTCAAACATTCAGACTCCTCTGGCTGCTTCCCGGTGTTGTTCCTAGCTACTCCATCTTGCTTGCATGCTCTTTCCTAGGTATCCCTGTGCTGTAGTGGGTCTCTGCCCCTTCAGCTGTTAGTCCCAATGAATAGTGACTGGGAAGCCTCTAAAAAAGCTATTCCTAGATTTTTCAATTGTGTTTTAATAACTGTTTAACCCGGTATCTTGAAACTAGCCAGATCTGGAAGTAAGTGTTGTGTTCCCATGGGAACCTAGAGAAATACTCATTTTAATTTCTTTATTCTTATTAACATGCATGTCCCTGAGATACCAGACTTCAGAATTGTGCTGTAACCACAGAAAAATGTATTTTTTTTCCAGAACAAAATATCCTGTGGTCCTGGATCTTGATTACTGACGGTCATAATATCTCAACGTTAAGGGCTATTTAGAGTGAGAGGAAAAGTGTATATATAATATTTCTGAGACTAGTGGAAGAGTTGGTATGGAGTGCCCAGCTGAGACAAACGGTAGCTAATAGGAATTTTATGGTACTCTGGCCAGAAAATAAGCATGTCTCTCTGATTTACCACTTAAAATATATCTGTGACACTGACTGAAAGATTTGTCTCATTTTAATGAGTGTTGTTCATGGGGAAAATCCTGGAAGAAAAGCATGTCCTGCTTTTTGAGCTGAGTATTGTCTGTCTTGAATTTGGACTTGTGATCTTTAGTCCATGGTAGAATGCTACCATAGTCTGGCCCTGACTGCCTCCAGCGCTGGTGCTGCTTCAGTGAGATTGACAAGGGCTTCATAATTTGTTTCCTGATGTCTCTGCCTGGCTGGCTCTCTTTCTTCCGTATTTAAATGGTACTTTTTCTGTGCACTTCATAATATATTTCTGCTGCCAGCATGTTGAGCACTTTTTAAATGTGTTTTTTAAGCAAAATCAGTAGGGTTTTTTTTTTTACATTAATCAAGTCTGAGCCATTAACGAAATCGTTTAGGAGTGCCTTCATCAATAACTGAGCATTTAGCATCTTACTCTGCAGTTCTGTTTTTGATTTGTGTGTTTATTAGAAGAAAATAAAGTCAAACTTTGAATGACTCTCCAAATTTTGGGATACCTTAGGATTTTATTTTTTAGTGTAATAGATGGTGAAGTTGCTATTCTGGGCCTGAAAGACTCTGAGACTTTAATGGCTGGGATTATTCTGTTTGCTTGGCAGAGTCAAGGAATCAGTTGGCAACAGTATTAATTTTATTAAAAAGACCGTAGAGAGACAAAGCGAGAGTGCACATGTGTGTACGTGAGAGTGTGACTACAATATACAACCAAAGGGAAGTCACAGAGACAGTGAATGGATTCAGCCAGCCTGGGCAAAATTACTGTCCCTATTAAAAACCCGTCATTGTTGCTAATAGCCATGGGTTTAATTTACTTCTTTGTGAGACCTGATTAAGTAAATCACCAGTACTTAAGAGCATGTCAAACAAGCAGGTTTATCATCTGGATGTTTATGTCTCCACTTTGGGTGATGAGATGGCATCTTTTCTTACGATTTTAGCAGTTGATCTCAAAGACAGTATACGTGTTAAACAGGTAAAGCAAGAAGTTGGTAATTGGGACTGGATGGTTTCAGTGCTCAGGAGGAAAAATGAACTATATTACAAGAAGAAAACTACATTTTTTCCAGTTCTGTCTTGGGGAAGTGTTGGAGACACTGCAGTGGTTCAAAGGAAGTATTAGCAAGGCTTCCCGAGAAGAGCCTTTTTGTTATGGGTGTGAATGTCTTGGACTTTAATTCTTTTCCCTCCTCACCTCTAGCTCGAAGAAGGGTTAAATCAAAGCGGCAGCCTCTCCCAGACTTTTTCATGTCACATTGCTGTGTGTGCTGTGGATGTTGAAACAATCCTATGC